CTACACTGATACAGCAAAAAAATCCACTTTGATATCAATCTTCCAAGTAAAGCAGTCATCTCTGACACATCAAGAATTGATGCACTGGACAGTACTATATACCCTTTTTCTTCCTTTGGGTTTAAAAGTGCCTTTATTCTGATTGTCTTTTATCAATTAGTTTTTCCTTTGATTTAATGACTCTGTCAGGTGAAGAACATAGTTTAAGTGATATATACTGTAGATACAATTATAAGCACCAGGAAAAAAAAGACCATTAATATTCTAGCAACAAACTGCCTAAATAGGCTCAAAGCCTACCACTCATCTGCCTTTCTCATGTTCTTGTGTTCTTTTCCGAATGTATGTATCTTCCGCAATTAAAATTCAGATGTACAGTAGGCATACAGTAGCTAAGGAGTCCATCTACCAGCTATGGCACAATCTCAAAATTCAGAGCTGGGCTTTCCTTAAAACAGCACTAAGCCCATTTAAAAAGAACCCTTTCAGCTCTTTAACATGCTCAAATTAAATAACTCCCTATTGAGTTACCATATAGATAAATTAAAAAGAAACATACAAACCTGTTGGAATAGACTCTGGGTCCCCAGCAACCCTGTATTGGATAAAATGGTTTGATGAATAAACAGTTATCAGGTTCTTCTGAAATATCAAGACTAACCACAACATTAAACATACACCAACACTTGATGATCTTAATAACCAGAGATAAACAACCAGAAGCCCTACTTTCATGCAAAAATCCCAGTGATTAAAAAATTAAATATTTATTTTATCACAGTCTTGCCACAGTTTAATGTCTGACCAGTTGAATCAGAGATTCAACACTGGACCTCTGCCACACGGATAAAAGCTAATTTCTTTGTCTCTGTCGCCCCCTACAGGTGTTTCCTGTAGCAACATGTCAAATAGCCAGTCTTCTCTTTGTCAAGAAACCTCAGCGCCTTTACTGTCACTCTTAGGGCTGCAGTGAGATGTTCCTTTCACAGTCCTCACCTGTTTGTGCATAATAATATCCTCTACTGTTACAAATTCAATAACTTAAAAATTTTCCACCACATTCTCTGAGCTTTTTCTTCACCCTAAATAATTGTCAGGAATATGTACTGTATTTCCACTTCTTTGCAGTTAAAATCACACTTTGCCACCTCAGAGCAGGATGATGCGCTGAGGCAGAACAGACAGATAAAATACAGATTCATTGAATTTCTGATTCAAGACACAGCTTGCTGACATTATTATTCAAAAGAACATCCCACATGCAAACTGATAAGACCTTGTCTTCCTGCTTTGCATAAAAGGGATCAGACAGCCGTTAAATCTGAAGGCTTGTTACAATTCTGACGACATTTGTTCAAACCACTAGAAAGCATCAGCTATGGTGTCGGTTGTTTCAGTTGCCTGGATCATTTTATTCTACTCTGTTGGTGAGTAAGAAAAATACCTTATCAGGTTTTATATTTTCACGTAAAATGTATAACTATAGTATCTAGTGCTGTCTAATACAGATTGTTTGTGTTGTTTCAGCAGGGACTGAGGGTCAGATCACAATGACTCTGACTCCAGCCACAGTCTCAGTGTCTCCTGAGCAGGATGTCAGTCTCCAGTGCAGCGCAAGTCAGGGCATTAGCTGGAGTTTAACCTGGTACCAGCTCAAGCCTGGGCACAGTCCCAGACTGCTGATTAAAGCTGGGGATGAGAGATTCCATGGAGTTCCCACTCATTTCGGTGGCAGCAGATCGGGAACTGTCTTCACCTTCAAAATCACTGGAGTCCAGGCTGAAGATGCAGGAGATTATTACTGTCAGCAGTATGACAGCACTCAACCCAGCAGCAAAACCCTACCCTCTTGACATGTTTAGCTGCCGTTGACTGCTGGTAAACAACTTTACAAATTAATGCTCAAAACTGGACCACCATTTTAATTTGTTTCTTCCTACCTTACAGCCAGTATATTTACCCAAAAGTCTCTGTACAGTAGAGAGAGCAACAGAAGATGGGGAGAAGGCATATACTCATCTAATGTCAGCTGCTGCATGTGTATCCCAATGGCAGTTCAGAGCTCTGTAACCCCACGGTGCAAATACTGAACCCTGATCACGACTCTAGACCAGACTTTGGGTTCTTTGCTCCTTGTGTCTGGAGGACAATGTGGGAAGAAATCACAACAGACCTGCAAGATCAAACAGGAATATATAACACTGTGAAAAAAAATATGTTTCCTTTTCTACACTCCACGGAGTACGCTATTGTATTCTACATTCTAGATTTTTTTTTCAAGAAAAAAGTCATTCTGGCCCCCGGTTTACACTGAGGAAAAGTGGGATTATTGCTGACTTCTGAACACAGCATTCTTGCATATGAGTGAAGTGCTTTCATTGGTGCCTTAAGGTGTGTTTCGTTAATGAGGTCAAGTGTGATCTTCTTCAGAGAAAAGACTCATGCATTGAGGAAAACTGCCTACACATCTCTCTGCTGTTTGCAGGTAAACATTGTGCCTCTTTCATTTTCATACATCTTAATATGTCACCGAGACAGCAACTAAGGAGATTACTTAAGGAAGAGAGCACATACAATAAATAAACAATAAACAAGAGGAGCAAGAGAGGACCAAGCCTGTATACAGTATGAACACTGCTGATAGTTTTAGAGTTATTTACTGCTTGTCTTCTCTACACTAAGAATATCTAGTATATCTAATGTGAAGCTGGCTTGTGTCAACTCTTGGTCTCTCCTTGGGATATTTTTTTATGGATGATACAATCTGTTTTGGAATTACCATTCCCCACCAGATTTTTAAAAAAATGTTTGTAACTTGGAGTTACAAACAAGCAGCCAGTGATGTTATCAGTGACTGTCTCCCTTCACGACTACATCAGAATCGAATCACCTGGAGACTCTGAGTGCTTGGGGTTAGTTTATAAACCCACCCATTCCAGGTGCTCTTCAGTGAAAACATTCGGGCCTGACAGAGCGTTGGGGCGTTTTTGACACTGAGCCCCTAGAGCTTCGTCTCTGTGTTTATTCCCGAGCCCCACTTTGTTTTCTTGCTGTTACTCCATGCCCCCGGACTTGTCGTTCCACCTCGCATTCCAGATTATTGCTGACTTCTGAACACAGTATTCTTGTATATGACTGAAGTGCTTTCATTGCTGCTTTAAGGTGTGTTTTGTTAATGAGGTCAAGTGAGATCTTCTGAGAAAAGACTCATGCATTGAAGAAAACCACCTACCCATCTCTCTGCTGTTTGCAGGTAAACATATTGGCTCTCTCATTTTCATACATCCCAATATGTATCACTGAGGCAGCAACTAAGGGGATTAGTTAAGGAAGAGAGCACATGCAATAAACATCTCTTTAATGTTGAAGAGGAGCGAGATGACTGAGCTTGTGTATGAACACTGCATCTAGTTTTTAAATGAGTGATTTACTGTCTGTCTTCTCTACACTAAGAGTGTCTAGTGTATCTAGCGTGAAGCTGGCTTGTGTCAAGCTCTTGGTCTCTCCTGAGGATAAAAAAATATTGTTTTATGGATGATACTGTCTGTTTTGGAATTACCACTCCCCACCAGATTTTTTTTTAAATTTAATTGCTTAGGAGATACAAATGAGCAGCCAGTGATGTCATTAGTGACTGTCTCCCTTCACGACTACATCAGAATCGAATCACCTGGAGACTCTGAGCGCCTGGTGTTAGTTTATAAACCCACCCATTCCAGGTGCTCTTAAGTGTAAATATTCAGGCCTGACAGAGCACAGGGTGTTTTTGACACTGAGCCCCTGGAGCTTCGTCTCTGTGTTTATTCCCGAGTTCCGCTTTGCTTTCTTGCTGTTACGCCACGTCCCCGGAGGACTCGTCGTTCCACCTCGCATTCCAGTACTGTTCCTAATTAGTCAATTAACCTCTGACTATTTAAAACTGCTTTACTCACATCTCCCTGCTCAGTATTGGGTTTATCCTGGCTAGAGCTGCTCTTTCTAAATCTCTGTGACTCTCTTTTTTGGATATTGGCTTCCTGGTCCTGGTTCGTCTCCCGACTACGTCTCCTGGTTTCGGTTTTTGGCTTTCTACTGTGTTCTGGTTCTGATTCTCGGCTTCCTCACAGTTTTCGGCTCCGCTTCTATTTTGGTGCTTCTTCCCGGCTCGACTACCTACGGCTTACTGACCTCAGCTTGCTCACTCGACAACCTCATTGGATATCGTTCAGTATTCTGCATAGCATCCACACTACCTTTCTTTAACACTTGCCATGTCAGCCTGCTGTGTTTTGACCTCCTGCTTTGTCTCCAGACTGTGTTCCCAGATCTCCCCTCAGCTTTGTTGTCTTTGTGTCTTTCAGCTTCTACCCTGGCTTTGTCCTTGGACTGAACCTCGCACTGTCTCCCAGTCAGCCCCTTGCGCTTGGCTACACTGCCTCCCCAGTTGCAACCATCACTTGTGACTCCGGATTGAGTTCACCAGCACCTCTCTCTGGTTCCCTGGGCTCTCCAGTCATCAAGCTGCCTTTTCCCCATTCCCAGAGTGCACGTTCCCTGCTTCTCCAGTGCCAGTGCCCCACAGGCTTCCCTGTGTGTGCTTGCAGGCTCCCAGACTCAGTTGCTTGTCGTCCTGGATTTCCCTCTGAGTCCTACCTCAGCAACATGGCATCTCTAACAGAGAACAGAAGAAGAGTTTTTTCCCCTTTCTCTTTTCTCTTAGAGGGAAAATGTGTTTTTCTTTTCTCTTCTTTTGAATGCTTGGATCCCCATTTTTTCTTCTGTTTGGTCTGTTTTTGGCTTTCAGATAGGAAACAAAAAGAGGAAATGAAAGAGAGAACTCTCAGAAGATGTATCGAAAGACTCTGCAGTGTCTCGAACCCTCTCTTCTAGGTTGCCAGGTATGCGGATGACCAGGGCCCCATGCACTCTCTCTGCTCCCTTTGCTTTGTCTGCACTCAACTCACAGGATCTCAGTTCCCATGATCACCTGCTCCCCTGTGTGCTCCATGACTGATAGTCCACAGCCTGATATCTGGTGTGTTCTGGGCTGTTTATACATAGCTCAGTAATAAAAGAGTTAAAGAACAGGAAAAACAATGTCTTACGCCAGCTATCAGAGTTCTGCACATCATTTGAACATGTTTGTCATACCTGACTTCCCCAGCTTCCACAGCAACACTAACTATGGGAGAAAGCTTTCCTAGAAGATTTGCCTTTCTTGGAGCAGGAGAGGAGTGCTGGTGTCATTCATGCCTTTTTCACCTCCGCCCCTCCAGAGGAGGGTGCCAGCCCTAACCCTAGGTCATTGGCTTTCAAATCACATCACTCTTCAGCCCCTTACTCACTCATAACTGAGCTTCAGGTCCCTCTCTCTGTGTGCACATACTATGATGGCCCATAACAATGACCGGGATTAATCAGTCCATTCCAGGTGTTCTTCAGTATAAATAACCTGACCTGAGAGAGCCTGGAGCTCTGTTATTGCGTTCGACACCGAACCCCTCGAGATCCATCTCCATGCTTATTCTCAAGGTCCACTTTGCTTTCATGCCTTGTCAGCATGCTGTGCTTTGACCTCCTGCTTTGTCTCCAGACTGTGTTCCCAGATCTCCCCTCAGCTCTGTTCTCTGTGTGTCTCTGTGTGTCACACCTGGCTTTTAACTTGACTGAACCTCACTCTGTCTCCTGATCAGCCCTTGTTCTTGACTACAATGCCTCCCCAGTTACGACCCTCGCTTGTTTCCCACAACCCTGGACTGTGGTTACCAACATCCTGCAGGTCTACCAATCAACCATGACCCAGGAAATTCCATTTGAGCTGTGACCTGTGGCTGACCTGAGAGCAGCCCCTGACATCCTTTGATGAAACTGTCAAGTTATTTCCTAGACTGTGTAGGCATCCTCTCACGAGGCACCAGTAAATGTAGGGGTTTTGTGCATTTACTTGGACAATTATTAATTGTAGCAGTAAGTCACAAAATTATTCTTTGATGGCTATTACAAGACCAACCCAGCAGGATACTCAGCAATGCACACACGGATACTTATACACGAGAATACATTTATTGATACATAAAATATGCATATAAACATAACAGATCTTATAGTGAGGGTTAGCAGAATACAAAAGGTATATATTCAATCACAGTTAAAAACCAAAAGGGACATACATTCAGTATACCATTCATTTAGACTGTTTCGGAAATGAACTTGGATTACAACTTTAGATACACAAAAGCAAGTACATCACTCTTAGGAATTAAATTGATATCAACTCAGGTTGAGGTAACAATTGAATTCTCGAGCTGTAATGCAGAATGTTGAATACTCATCTGATCTGTGTGGATTCAGATCTCCTGCAGGCACAAAGAAGCAGTGGCAGGCTTGTTGCTGTGTCCAATCAAGCAGTGCTGGTTCGGCATGCAACGTGGGAGAAGGAGGGAGAGATTTCTGTGGCGGTGCGTTGCTGATGCTCTCTGAAGACTGGCTAGTTAGTGTTGGCTGAAACTAGCAGAGTTTCTGCACAAGAGAAAAGTGACTGCGGGTCCAAGCAGTTCACACTCTTCAGACAGGAAGAAGACCGGTTCGTTCCTGATATAGCGCTAGTTCTGAATACTGATATTCAGTTGTCCACAGTTCCGACTGTAGTTCACTTGTTGATCAGGTGAGCTTTCACGGTGGGTTCATGAGGCTTGCTGCTGGGCTAACCTCGGGTGGATCCTTTGGTTACACGCTGACAACCTCCGTTCTCGACTCTTAGAACAAAGGAAAGTCCTGGCACTCGGACACATTGGCCGTTACATGATTGTCTGAGCTGAGTCTGAGGATGTCCAGGAGGAGCTGAGTCAAGAATGTCCAGGAGGCGCCCGGAGGAAGCCCTGTGCTGCCTGTTTTACCTGGAGGAACTATGGTCGTTCATTGGTTGAAAGTTCTGTGGGCATCCGAGACTCACGTGGGGTTAACCTGCCCTACCAGTTCCTGATTGGCTGAGGATGAGTAACAATGCACTCTGACCTTAGGGTTGTAAACCTTGGGATGAGACTCTCCCTTGGAGTCTCCAAGACAGTCAGGTGCCAGAGATGACCATTTATTAGGGTTGCTGGAGAATCTCAGCTTTGGGAGTTGTTCCGTATCAGGACACTCTATCAGATAGAAAAACACCTTAAATGTGAACCAAATGGAATGGCCTTTCTGTATCCAGCACTACTGAAATGAGAGACAGAGAGACTGGCAAGGGAGCAGCAAATTCCTGTATTTTAATAAGCCTTGCCACTACAACTGTATGCTGGACATCACCAGTTGGGATCAGCTTCAACACCATGACTGGATAGCTGGTTATAGACCCACGGTCCTATAGGGTTAAAGGGTTTTTTACAACCTGATGGATTATAATGACTGTGTGGCAGCTCCTTTTTAATTTACTTTCACCCGAGAAAAATCTGAAACTGAAAGCATTTGTTTGTGATGCTTGGTCAGGAAGAATCTCCATTTCTCTGTCTCTCATTCGTCACAGATGTTAGGGCTTTTGTGCAGAAGCCAGGTGTTTGGTGTCTCTAACCCTCCTGGCTGCCTCACACACCTGCTGAAAGGGAGCCCCTGTGTAAATGGGGCGGATTGCCCTCTAACACAAGATCAGGCTGCGGGTGTTAAAAGCGAAAGTCTGGGAGGATGAAAGGCGCTGGAATGTAATACTCTGTTCAGCTCATGCAGTTCCCCCAGTGTAGCACGAGGCAGCCTGAGAGGCAGAGCTGGGGGAGATGAGCAGGGTTTCAGTTCCGGGCTGTGAGGGGAGCCAGGTGAAGGCAGCGATCATCTGGCTGTGTGGTTTCTCTCTCTGCTGCTGCCCTGAAACTGACTGTCAGTCTGCTGCTCTGTGATTGCAATCGCACTGTTCTTCTGTGGTTGTTATTCTGCCTTTGTTCTGTGGTTCTGCCAAAAGCAAAACAGAATGAATTAAACTTACAGTTTCAAATCTAATTTAACTAATCAGCAGCAGTGTTGAGTAATTTATCTGTGAAATACCATGTTGGCACTGAATGTGATTGATTCTTTTTCACTTTTTGTTGAAATGTGAAATGAACTAACATACAGTATGGAGGTGACAATGCAAAATGATCGTATAAAGTGTGTCTATTATGAAGAGGCATGTTCAGCATATCATATTAAATGAATATTGTATAATTTATATCATATCTTTCTGGAAATTTTAAGGAAATTTTCGATGAGAGTTGGCTTTCATTTTTCTTTATTTTAAAAGTATAATATATATCTGACTATATTTCAAATTTGTCCTTACAGCTCTCTGGTCCTGGGAAGCCTTCTGTGTGGAGTCTGGATGTTCTCACTCTGATCAAGGAGGATTTGTCTTTGTCCTCCAGTTCTTCCCGCCTCCTGAGCCCTGATTGCCAGAATAATCGATCTCTGCAAGTTATTGCCCCTGTCTGCTGGTATCAAAGTGCACTGGGATGGACTGGCATCCTAGCTGCTGTCCCTCCTTGCGCGTAGACCTCCAGATTAGACTCTGGACCAGGAATAAGAGACTTTCTGATGATGGATGGATTCAAAAGGATGTGTGATGCAAGAACACAACCACATGCATATTGGTTGCATATTATCAGGTATGTCTGTTGTGGCGCTGGAGACATCAGAGATGTACAGCAAGTCTTAGTAATAATTATTTCAATACTGCACATCAATACAGTTTCTAGTCTAATAGCAGAGAAAGAAAATTAAGTATGAATAAGAAAGAAGAACTGAAAGGAAGACATTGGCAGTGGAGGGCTGGGAAAGAGCAGTTTTGTGCAGGTTTTGTACAGCTGCGTATGAAACTTCACACCACTTTATTTTCACTGACACAACTCTTCACTAAAATAATTTAAATTATTAGATGATAGGTACAGAAGATATACTGTAGTGCTTTATTGAGCAATCTGTGTATGTAAACTCATATATGTATATAGTGACATATATAGTGTACATATATTAGTGGCCCTGATGTGCTACTGCAGGCAGTGACAAGACATGAATTGTGCAGCTTGTGCCCTAGATGGGCTGCTGGAAAAGGAGTATGCTGCTGTATGCACATATGTTGCCTTTGTGTGGTTGTTTCTTCCCTGTAGTTGATCTTCCTAGTTAGATTCCTCACTGGGTCGCCGTCTGTAACCCTGTCAGCAGCAGAACCATGAGTCCCCCCACAGACTGGACTCCAGTGGTTTGGTGGTGAGCAACTGTGTGACAGAGAGTAGGAGGTGGGGTTTATTATGAATTACAGAGCAGGGTCAGTCAGCAGGGCTTTGAAGTGTTGTGATTGCTTCTCTTTTGCTTCCTCTGCAAAAATTAAACCCAAGAGTGAGATTTTTTTATGGGAACTAGAAGAAGCTGAAAATGTGAGAGATTAAGATCCTGAGGAGATATTTTGGAGACGGGTTGGAAACTGTGAATTGGCAGAACAAACTACCAATCCAAAATGGAAACTCATGCAACAGAAAGACTGTAACCTCTCCCTGGCAGGGAAGGTTCTGGTGATTAAAGTCAAGCTCTTGCCTCTCTTGAATTTTCTGGCTCCCACCTTCCCAATCCCACACTGTTATGTGGCAGAGCTGGGGAGATTGATGTTTCATTTTCTATTGGTTTGGAAGCAGGAAAGACTCAGGAGGGAAATAATGTACAGGCCGCTACCCTTGGGGGGAAAGTTTGTCCCAGACGTTGCCATGAAGCTGCTGTGCATCTTCCTGACCTCTGTACTGAGAGGTCTTGCGAGAGCACCTGAAACACAAACCTGGACTTATTTCCCCAGGTGTTGGGGAGGTATCAGACCCAAGATGGATGTCCCATTCTCTGAGACATGCCCTGCAAGTTACAGCACAGAAAAAAGCTTTTAAGATCTCATCCAATTGGTCATGATAAGATCCTCCATCTGAGACTGGAGATGAAATGATCTCTTCCTTACACACATTGAATTGATTTATTTATGCTTTTAGGATCTCAGTATTCTAAATGAGGTCGGACAAGTGTGAGGGATCATTTTAGGTCAAATGTCCCTTGATTGCTGTGTGAAATGTATCTTTATTTCTTTATGTCTGGTTCTCCCACACCTCTCGTCGATGCCCTGCACTGAGAGACGAT